CAGCTTTGGGAGTTCCCCAGCTCTACAACTCTAGCCGCTGTGCTTGCATACGGAGTTTGTGTGCTTTGTTACCCTAAGGGTCCATGTACCCAAATAGTAGATACTTTGGCCCCGAAGTACCCAAATAGGGACTACTTTAAGGCCAAAGTATATCTATTTGGGTACATGGACCCTTAGGGGAAAGTACCCTACTTCAGGGCTGCTCCTAGGTCCTAGGATGCTCATACGTGTTGCCATCTGTGTTGTGTTTCGAGGGTGTCGGTGCTATAGGCTACAGGGTGTAGGGTTTAGTATGTTTCAGTTTAGGCTTTGGCAGTTTGGTTGATGAGGCGAAGCCAGCCCAATCCCAACAAGCCCCCAAGTCGAAAGATCTAAAGAGCCAGCAAGGGCTACAAAACAACAAAGAGCAACTAAATCCCCTGGAGCCCTACAGAAAAGCCTCACACCTAAAACCCATAAACTTACCTTGAGCCCTAGCGAGACGTTGGCCTCTGCCCACCCCTCTCCCCAAAACCTAAACCCTAAACCCTGAACTTTAAACCCTAAACCGACTGTCCGACGAAGCCATTTGAACCCTAGGCTGACTTGAAGCATCATGCGGCTTAAACATAAGGGCTTTGTGTGCCCTACTTGCGGCTATATGGGTATGTAGCTATAAGTTTAGCCACCTTGTTTATAGCCCTACATGATATGATCTGTTCATTTGGGTTTCGGGCTGAGGGTTTAGCTACACCAATCGGATCCTTGATTCTCGGGTGCTTTGAATCGGCCTCCGTTTGCAGCTTCCGATGCAACCATCATCTCTGGAACTGGGACACAGTTGGAATCTCGAGTTTAGTCTACAGGAGAAAGGTCTGAGCAGCTACTAATACGATCCTTGGGGTTTCCTCATTGTAGTTATGGCATAGTTTTCGAAAAAACCCTACCATTTCTGATTTGTAAGGCCGTTACACTCGTGTTTTGAGTGGGTGGCGCGCAGTTCTTGAACACTTGTATAATCCAAGGTTCCTGAGTAGTACCCTTTTGCCCTTTTTGTTTTCGGGTCTGCTTATTAGAACCGAATACTAGGAAAAAGGGTACCCTTATACTGTATAATTTAGGGGTCACTGAGGAACCTAGAAACCCTAAACCCTAAAACCCTAAAGCCCTAAACCCTAAAACCCTAAAACCCTAAAACCCTAAACCCTAAACCCCAAACCGTAAACCCTAAACCCTAAAGAAACCCTCAGAGGTCACTTCTAAAAAAACTAGGGGATCTATGGTGGTTCATGGTTCAAAGGTTCGATTCAAGGCCAGTAGGAAAGCTATTTGCTTTGAATAATGTAGGGGTTTAGGGTTTAGGGTTTGGGGTTTAGGGTTTAGGTTTTTAGGGTTTAGTGGTTTTAGGGTTTAGGGCTTTAGGGGTTTAGGGTTTAGGGTTTTGAGCACCAAATGACCCTTTAAGACTAGGGGGCTCATTCCCATATACTATGAATCCCTATATGGTATATGAACCTTAAACCCTTTTAGGGTTCCTTTCGTCCCTAAGGTTGGGATATTCCTAATACGGAATTAGGCCCGAACCGGCCATCCTGATCATGGCTCAACTCCATAGTCGATAGTCGTAGTAGTAGTAGTAGTAGTAGTAGTAGTAGTACCCTTATCCCCCCTACATAAGCGCCCCCCACCTCATCTTTTGTCCACCATGCTCTCATGTCAGCATGTGCTCTGGTTCGAGACTTCTGTGTATACACATGTGTGCAGTTATACGCA